ATATTTTTATGACTGGTATTCTTCTTCAGAGAAGTATTTATTCCTTCAAATGAAAATGCTTTTGTTCCAATGGAGGCTCCCCACAGGAGGCAGTCTGCCCTGTTTAGAATTGGAGGTGTTACGGTCTATACCTTCTGCTGCAAATTGGCTCCGAGTGCAAGTGTGTGTGTCATTTTCATCTATCTCCTTTCAAATATCACTAGCCACCAGAGTTTCATGCTAAAAGCCTGATCCCACCAGCAGCCCTTCAAGAACCCGGGGGAAAATCTGCAAACAAAGAGCTTGCAGGATTGGGCACTTTACATGTAACATGTTGCTTCTCTCTCACTGCATAGAAGCTTGTAATGAATGCAAATGAAAAAGATTTTGCAAACTCAGTAATGGAACTGTTTAAACTAGGAGCTGGGGGAAAGCTGACAGGTGCCAAGGAACACTCAGGTGGGACAAAAATCTGGTAGGGCTCTCAGTGACACAAAGGTATCTCTGTACACAGAGAAAGGTGGGACAGATGATACACTCTCTCTCCCTTCAGCAAGGATCACACCACTGCCACTCTAAGCTATTAGACAGGTCTACAACTCTCTACTGTTAGCTCCTAACAGGCCTAAGAGACATGTCAGAAAGCCTGATTCTCTCATTGCTTCCCTTTTAACTTTTCAGAATACAGTTTTCATTCCCAAACTGAAATTAGATACTGATGCCCCTTTTGTCAAAACATTTTCAGATATGTTGTGTTCATGTATCTCCTTCATAGCAGAGTTCAAAAAAACAAACAAACCCCAACAACAACAAACCAGGCGAACCCCAAGCCACCACTAGATTTTTTTCCCCCAGAAGAAAAAGATAAATTTTTGTAATGTAATTATTTAGGAAGTTTTAACAGGTTTACAAATCATTGCCATGTAAATATCTAAAGTATTAATCATTACAACACTGAGGTGATCTTTTTGTTTAGAGAAACATTATGTAGTAACAGAATCATCAAATCTCTTTGTTTAACAGAGTATTATCATATTACAGAGTGAGCCTCTTTCTGCCACCCAGGCTGTGTTATTTCTGGGGATTTTATTAAACTGAGTGAAACTACTGACTCTACTCATATTTACCAAACCATGCATGCCTGTCAAATGTTAACATTCAAAATAACTGGACAGGCGTGCTGCAGGGAGGGGTTTGGCAGTACTTTTAGTATTGAATAAACAGTAACTAAATATCTATCTGTCCTCTGACAATTTTGCGGGGTACCTAATTGATGCATTGAGTTTTTCCATAACAATCTCCCATATGTTCTGGAACCACTCCTCTAACTTTTAGCTATTTTTCTTTTCCCAATGAGAGGTTATCAGTAGTCTAGCAGCTACTAGCAGATTAGATGAATTTTTCACCTGTTTGAGTGTGTCCCTTTTCCCTAGGAAGCCCCTGGGAACAGGTTACAGTCTTAAATTAGTGGCCATTTTGGTGAGCAGGAGAGCAGATCTATCGTTCTGGATCAAACAAAGAGGGTAGGAGGAGTAAGTGGGCAGCTAACATGTCAACATGAAGTTGAAGACAAGGAGGATGAAGTTGTGCTGTGAGGAAAAAGGGAGAGCAAAGGAGCCAGAGAGGAAGGTGGATGGGGAGGAGTTGGGGGCAGTAGATGGTGACTACATGGAGGGGGAGTGGAGATAAGAGGCAGGAGGAGTGTTTGAAGAGGAAGAAAGAGTGGTAGGGTTGGAAACAGCAGAAGAGAAGCTCTACACCTCACCTCACTCCTTTGCGGACTACTTGAGGTGGAGCATGTGAGAAAAGAGGTCACTGAGAGTGTGTGGCTGCAGCGGCAGTGTCAGGAGAGGGGATCCAAAGTTCCTGTAAGTGCCAGGAGATAGAGGGAGAAGGAGACAAAAAAAACATGGATAATGGTGATCTTTGAGATGCAGTGTGTGCAACCACTGGGTATTCCAGAGGGAGCAAGAGAAGATGACAGGGAGACGGCTTGAAAAGGAAGGGCTAGAGGTGGTGATGGGACAGGGTGCAGGAAATGGGACTGGTGGGGATGGAGGCTGGGTCAAATATCGCACAGAAGAGGAAGTGGAGGTGGAATTTGGATTTGTGGAGGTGAGAGGGGGTGAGGAATGGGCAAAGGGGAGAACAAAAAGGGAGAAGCAAGGGTAAGGTGGAGATGGTGGATGCAAGTGAGGAGTGGGGAAGGGAACCAGTGGAGGAAGGGATGACAACACAAAAGAGAGGTGTCAAGAGAGTGAACAGGAAGTAGTGGCAGAACGTGGTTAGGAAAGAGCAGCCTATGGGGTTGATAGGAGCATACGCTCAGCTAATGCAGACAAGAGCAACAGAACAAATAATCGAACCAAAGACTGTATTACAATGTATATGCCAGAGGCAGAGTTAAGGCTGGTCATGGACTGGAACTGTGGCATTTCCCCAGCTTTTGAGCACTTCACTTTGCAGCTGTAATGTTTTTTACATAGAATCATAGAATATAAGGGTTGGAAGGGACCCCAGGAGGTCATCTAGTCCAACCCCCTGCTCGAAGCAGGACCAATTCCCAGTTAAATCATCCCAGCCAGGGCTTTGTCAAGCCTGACCTTAAAAACCTCTAAGGAAGGAGATTCTACCACCTCCCTAGGTAACGCATTCCAGTGTTTCACCACCCTCTTAGTGAAAAAGTTTTTCCTAATATCCAATCTAAACCTCCCCCACTGCAGCTTGAGACCATTACTCCTCGTTCTGTCATCTGATACCATTGAGAACAGTCTAGAGCCATCCTCTTTGGAACCCCCTTTCAGGTAGTTGAAAGCAGCTATCAAATCCCCCCTCATTCTTCTCTTCTGGAGGCTAAACAATCCCAGCTCCCTAGATACTGGGATACATAGATACTTCTACTTTAAAAAAAACAACAACTGAATATTTCTTATTTTGTGCCTGGATCAGCTCCAGCTATTTGCTCTGTCTGGAAGAGGCCTGATTTTGTGCAAAATTCTGGCGGGTTTCCTTGCATTTTCTAGAGGATTTTTAGATTAAGATTACCCTGTTTCATGCTATTGAGCAACAGCTGAGCTTTCTAAAATAATTTCTTCTGAATCCAACAAAGGCTGTGCTCCTATTGGGATCCGGGAAGTAGCTGCAAGGCTGTGAACCTTTCCCCAGAGGATAACTGGGGATGAAGAGTGTTTACTCCAGCATCTGCCTTGTAAGGAGGGTCATGGCAAGCAGGAGCAGAGTGCAGGTAAGGGGGCTAAGGAAAGCCAGTTCTGGAAGGAACTGTCCACGACTGTTCCATTTCAGAAGGTTGAATCTATATAGAAGGCGAAATTTCTCTTTAAAAGCCCTTCCAAGGAGATGATAAATGTATTGAGAAAATATTTGATGTTACAGACTTTCTGATGGTCTTTTACACTTTCATTTTTCAAGTACTGGAATTGTTTCACCAAGCAATGAAAACAAACTAAGCATCGTTATTACGCCTTTGGCTGCTGCCGGGGAACCCTTGGCAACATGCACTGAATGGAAAGAAGGCAGTTTTGGATACTGGCAGGGTTAGCGTAACACAAAACTGAACACTCGCTAGAAAACGTCAGGTGGCACATTAATTTAATGGCTCCTTCAAAACAAGATGTTCACTGGACTAAGACCTGATAGTAGGTTGTGCCTGGGCTGTTCGAAGAGCTGATAAGGGTTTCACAGAAGTATGAGTTTATCTTGTAGGACTTCAGCAAGCTAGAGAGATCTACTCTTTCAACCAGTTTTGCACCCACCGTCTAGAATTTCATCTAGACCACACACCCCTAGTTTACTTATGAGAATGTCGTGTTGGACTGTCTCAAAAGGCCAAAGGTGCTTCCTCCTTCCACTAGGCCAGTAACCATGTCAAAGAAGAAAACCACACACACTGCAGCCTCACCGAGGTGTCCAGACACCTGTCTCATACCTGAGCCCCAGTGAGATCATAAACCAGGACAAGATAGGTGGAGGAGCCATACAATGTAAGTGCATTTATTTCAGTGAGGCTGTATCAGCAATTAACGTGACCCCCTCAGAGAAGGAGGGTTTATAGACAACTCTGGCTGCCAATACATGGACACAGTGACATGCCTGGTGAGAGACTTCAGCTTAGTGAAGAAAGCAACATATTTTTTAGGATCTAGAACTGGCAAAATACACATTTTGTGAGAGCTGGAGGGTAGTGATGGTGCTGGTGATGAATGTTATTCTTAATTGACACAATTCTTTAAACTCAAATGTTATGCTTACGTTTAATAACAATTTTTATTTAACATGTTTACAGGTTAAACCACCTCTTGTGGACTTTTGCTCAGCAAAACTTTTTAAAATGCCTAACAAAAGCCCCCACAAAAAAACAAAAACAAAACACCTGTCAGGTATGGCCTAGGTATTCTTGGTCCTGCCTCAGTGTGGGGAGAAGGCCCAGATGACCTCTCAAGGTCCCTTCTAGCCATTCATTTCTACGATTTCTATGAAATTATTAGTATTAACGTGACACACACCGAGTTACTATGCCCAGTGCCAAAAAGAAGATGGAATAGCCAGTGTAAGACATCCAGTTCCTTCCAGAAGCAGCATATACTGGCATTATAACTAATGCCAGATGAGATCCCAGCACTGGGACAGTCATCAGCTGTACCATCATTAAGGATTTATTTTAAAAAAAGTAACACTTACTAAAAACAGATCAGTAACAGATGATAACTTGTGGTAATCATGACAGTACAAACCCAGGAAAGTACCAAACTGGTGACTGGCTACAAAGACATACATGAAATTTTCCACTGAATGCATCCGATGAAGTGAGCTGTAGCTCACGAAAGCTTATGCTCAAATAAATTGGTTAGTCTCTAAGGGGCCACAAGTCCTCCTTTTCTTTTTGCGAATACAGACTAACACGGCTGCAACTCTGAAACCATACATGAAATTTGTTTTTCTTCAGTAAAGTAGTTGTCCATGCACAAGTAGGAACCCAGTAAACAACTGCTCGTATGTATTACCTCTTTGTTGGTGACTCCAGGGGGTAAAGTCCCATGTTTATAATCCTCCAGCAATTGCACAGCTTCTTTCAGACGACTCTGCAAATACATAAAACAATAAAGCATGATCAGCAACATTTGTTCTGCACTGACCACGTTAGACCTAAGGCTGTGAATCTAGGTTACAGGGCCACGTGCAAGTCTTAAAACACACTTCTTTATGCAAGCCTCGGGATAGGTGTATTTTTTATATATACATACACATTTAGTACATGTTTCTGTGTTTGATTTATATTATCAGCTTCTTGAGAGAGGGACTGCAGCTTCCTCTCTGTTTGTACAAGTATCTAATAATACATAATAATTATGTGGGATACACAAAAGAACAAGGAATGCTGGCACAAATGGTATCAGAAAGTCTGTTCAGCTGAAGTCTTCTTAATTAGCATGATAAATCTGATTTACTATCTCAAGAAGGAGGCTGGATTCATAATGCAGCTAGGGAAATACTTTTTTGAGGACAAAATGACCTACACAGGTGCAATGGACAGTGCACTTATGGGGAATCAATTCATACCTTTCACCAAACTCCAGAAACCATCAAAACACCCACTGAAGTCAAAAGGAGTTTTGCCTACATAAGGACTACAGGACTGAAAAATATGGTAAAGTAAATTCAAGACCTCAAGAACTGCAGTAAGAGGCACTAGCCCATATAATTAATCTGTATTATTAAAAGAAAACACACACACACACAGAGTGGCCACCCTCAAAACTTCAACATCTACCAACAATTATTAAACAGCATGTTTGATTCTGATCTCAGCTACATCAGAGTCGAGCAGGATAATTCCACTGAAGTCAATGCAGTTTCTGCTCTCAAATGGGTGTACTTTCACTGAAATCAATGCAGTTATCCTGCTTGACACCAACATAAAGGAGATCAGAATCAGGCCCCATATATCTGAGATACAATAATATTTTCATATATTTCAGAAATGATTTAACTGTGCTATCTCGGGTACCAACATGTGGTAGCTGTTGGCAAATGTTGGTATTTTAATGATAACCACTATATTGTCTATATATTTGGGCCAGATTTTCAGAATCAGTGTTGGCATCATTCTGCTCCCACTGAAGTTAATGGGAGTTTGATTGCTGAAGTTAATGAGATCAGAATTAGGCAAGAGCCGAGGCCATTTTAAAATCCCATCCATTATACACACACAAACACATATAGAAATAAGCAACTTCCTCATGTTGCACTAAAAGGCAGTTTTTAAATATCTCATGCATTCAAATTATCGCAAGTATTGATATTCATGTATTGCTGAATCAAAAAGTCCCATTTGTTTCCAGAATATATACCCATATTTCAAGGGGAAGGATGATCTTGCAATTAAGCACTGGACTGAGACTCGTAGGCCAATTCTTTTGATGTTTGGTAATAAAAAGGGGAAAGTAATCTCCATTCAATTAATCCAAAATGCAGAACATCAAGTCAGGCTATAAAGGCTGGCTTCAGTGAAGGCCACTGCTTTTCCAGTGCCCTGCCAAACCTGCAGTAAGGCTGCAGAAAATGTCAACGGAATAGGGAAAGATTTCTCATTTATTTAAAAACAAAGACAATTCAGGTTATTTACCTGGATGATGGATTCCCTGCAGGAACCTTAATGTTTTTAAATGTTACTGTCAGGCTTGTTTAGTTGAACATTCCTGCCCTAGCTGTTACAACTATTATTTCTAGATAGGGATGCTTTATAAAGATTTTTTTTAACACGATGATATCTGATTATAATCTACCTAGGTATTTATGGCCCTTAGCATTGTATCATAGATCCTCACAAACATCAATAAGCTTGTCCTTCCAAAAATTAGGCAAGTATCATTAGAGCAAAACTTGTTCTTCTATAGGCTGGGCTAATTGCTGGCAGATTATTAGTCCCTTTTTGTTGCAAACATCAAAGAATACTTTGTTGTTTTCTTGGAAATACCAGCAGTTAGGCCAACCCGAAATTGGCAATAAATGAATGACTAGTGCCTTTCAAGTATTCAGTACATAAATGCATTAATGAAAAAGTGGCAATCCCAGGTTTCTACAGAGCAAATGTGTTGTGGACGGATCAATGCCCATTTTTGCATACACTAACCTAATTCCATATATATTCACATATTTTTGGCCTTGGTATTACATTTATTAGCAGTGACTCAACACACGTGTAAAAGTGAGTAGTCTTTGCAAAGACACCTAATGAGGTTTAATTTCAGGAGACATGAAGAAAGGAAGAATTCAGGAAACATTCAAACAGCCTGAACGAAACGTGAACACTAGAGCAAGCTTCTTCTCTTCAGGCTCTGCAATGGAGGTCAGTCATGGTTATCGGGCTAGCTGCACTGCTGTCGCCTCTCTGCATTTGCCTGAGAGCATCTGAACAGGTGACAAGCTGCTTTTTGTGGGGTGGAATCACCCTTTTCTCCCACTCTTAGACTAGAGCCTGGGTTGCAGATGCTTGTGCTCACCAGGATTACCTCAGCAGGTCTGACTTCAGTTAGGTACCTGCAGTTTTGCCCCTCGGGAATCGTGACAGTGGTATATCCACAGTAACTACACAGCCTTGTCAAAACAAAGTATTGTTTATTCTTAACAGTCGGAACGCCAAACAGCACAAGACAGCAAGGATTTGAAAACAATAAAATAGCCTAAATACACACATACTTACATAGCACTTACTGTTCCTCTCTCCTTCCCCACACAGTGTTAGCCAGGTACCTCAACCTCTTCAGACTCCTGCCACACAGACTCTCTCAGTCTCAGCCTGTTCCCTGAATAGCCCCCAACAACTGACCCTGCTTTCTCTCAAGAGAGGGACTCTAGTTAGTATCCTTTTGATCTTAAGCCCCCAGCCCTGGCAAAGTAAGCCTTTTAAATTTGCTGGAGCCACAGCAGGAAGTCCCTTCCTAATTATTAGCCCAGCCATTGTTCTTGCAATGGCCCTTGAAGCATTTGCCCCAGAGATATTTTATTTCTAGTCTTTGTTTTACAGAACAGCCCCTTTTGACTCAGCTTCAGGAGTCAGATCACAGCCCTTACAGCAGTCGGACAATCATAGAGCATTTGTATGTTAATACAGAGCAGCCTTCATGTCTTCCACTGTCATTCAAATGTTTTGTCATCCATATATATTCATTTAAAGCAAGTTTTATCAGACACATTACCTGGTAAACTCAAGTCTCTTTTCAGAAAGCACTAGCCTCATCTGAAACCTCCCTGCACCCCACCCACTTTCTCTGGGAGGTTCCAGAATCACTCTGGGCTTATATTTGATCTTGGTTTGGTTTGCTGACTTAACGAAGATACACTCCAGCAATGTGAAGTCATCCTAAACTAGCAGTGTGTTCACTCCGTTCATTGGGTGGGACTGGGATGTGTTGGGGACATCCGGGGTACAGGCACAAGTACTGGAGAGAAACACCACACCCTGCTCCAAAGACTAGGGATTACGTCAGTATCCAGGCTCCGGAAAACTGCAGACACACAACTGGAACACACACACACGGTATTTTAAAAAATAATGAAATGATCCTCCTGGAATTAATCATCCAGAGCTTTAACTTCTCACAGTCAAGCAGCTTTAATGTGTGAGCGAGGGGAGGAGAGTTTGGGTCTTTTCTTAGCAGGACCTGATTTACTTAAAAAAATATACACAATAGTGTCTAGGTATGACAACGATGGGTACCTACGAGTAAGGCTAGTCATATGTCCTGTGGTCAATGCCGGTCACAGATCCCACAATTTTTACAAATAAAAAAAGGACTGTGTGGAATTATCTGTACTTTTGTTCAAATAAACAAACAAGAAAAGTTCGCTTTTTAACCCTGATGGTTCTCAGAATGATCTAATGGGAAAAAATGAGGCAGCGCCATCTTCCTAATCCTTCCAGTAGATAGAGCTTCTGTGGAGCATTCCTTCTTTCATATAAAGGGGTTAGAAATGACAGGAAAATTGTAAAACCATATAATTTAGGAATTATAACAAGCTCTATCAAAACACCACCAAGTATAAGAATGTTATCGATATCCTGTGCGTAGTAAGGGTTTATTCTACCTGAATAAGTTTTATTTTTATTTTAAAAGATAAAAAGGTACCTCATGTATATGAAAACATAGGCAGCCACTTTCGGGAATGAAGGGGGAAGAGAGCAACTGAGAAAAAATTATGACCTTTGCATTTTTTTGCTATGACAAAAATTGATTTTTTTCCAATTCACCCCCATCCCAGACAACACAATTCTGATACTCATAAAGGAAGGGAATATTAAAATAGAACTAAAGAACAGGAGAATCCGAGATGGCAGTGCAGGATCCAGAGGTGAAAAGTCAAAGACTACAGAATGAATAATAAGTAAAGGATCCAGAGAAAATAACCAATTTTCCCTACAAAGCTCCACAATAAACCAGTATTGCCAGCTCAATATACTGGAGAACCATTCATGCTCATTATTAGTATGGAGATTTGGGGGCAGGGTTTTCCACTGAAATTACCTACACTGTGTGCCTTGCAAATCATCTACACAGAACAGCATGTAACTTTGAATGAAAGTCTAAAGTAAATAAATGAATGGATCTGTGTTCTATTTTTTTCCTCTTCTCTTGAGGAAATGTTAGTAGTTACTATAACAACCCTGGCTGGATCTCATCTTGTTTAGTACAGCAACAAACAGAAAAAAAAAACCCAATTTTTGCTTTTAAACTTGCAGTCTCCTTAAATGTCTCCTTTTGGCTCAGCAGGCAAAAAAAATAAATAACGCTTTATGAAAGGAATGAGCCTCCAAACAAACTAGCTGAGGGTTGTGAAAGATTACAAAAGGCTTAAAAACAACTTATGAGTGTCCTACAACAAACAAAAATGTAAAACATAATGATCATACTAAGAATATGAAAGCACTTGATTTAGAACGGTTCAGATTGTTTTAATAAAATATTAACTGCCCCAAAACTTTGCTAACACAGAGTTAAGATTAACCAGCAGTGCCTCATGTAATTCCAAAATGCTGAGTGCACCTGTTCTTTAAAACCTCCAAAACCCAGGAAATACAGAG